TTCAAGCCTGATGCCTGGTTCTCAGTCCCGTCCCAGCTGAGAATTTCCTTCCAGTGATGTGGTCTCCTAGAGTCTCTTCCCGTTTCCTCAACTGACAGGTGGGAACCATTCCCCACCGCAGGGCTGACAGACAGGGGTGAGATAAGTGAGTGTGTGCAGCAGCTCGGGCCCATGCTGGCATGTGAGGTGTGATCCACGGATGTTGGTTATCACCATCTTTAGGCTTTCTCAGGGGCAGGGGGCACAGTACAGGAACTACAGCAACCTCAGGAATTTGCAGGGCCACTCAAGTCACCGGTGCTTGCAGGAGTCCAGAACGCTGCTGTTTAACAAGAACCTGAGACCATGCTGGGACCCCCTTTCCTAGCTGCACCCCAGTGGCCCAAGATCTCCCCCAACTCAAGAAGAAGCCCGGGCCACTGAAGGCAGTCTGAGTGATCTTGGGCAGGTAGAAGAGGAACCTCTGAGCTCCAACTGTCCCCAATGCATAGGGGAAACAATAAGCTAGCCTTCTTGCCAAGGTCACTAACAAGATGACAGAGGCCTGGACAAAGGGCTTAGAGGGGCCTGGCCCACAGCTGAAAGGAGCAGCCCTGGCTATTCCTGAAGATGGCCAGTCTGAAAAGCAGGCAGCGCTGGTGAGAAAGCTGCCCTGCTTAGGACACAGTGCACACCCCCCACCCCAGAAAGGGGAGACAAGTCTACCTCCTGGAGTCTCGCTGTGGGAGGGGAACAGAGGCTAAATTAAGGCTCCTCCTGCCACCAGTGCCCGAGATGACATCCACACAGCCGCCTCCTTAGCAGCAGGCGAGCAGCCCCTAGCACAGTACTGCAAGAGTCATGGGCTAGTTGCTCCAGGCCTCTTCCATCTCCTCTCCCCACACATCGTTCCCTCACACCATAGAGCTGCCCTCTATGCCCCAACACCCTCCCCAGCCTCTTGTGTCTTAAGGCTTGAAGGCAGCATGCCTGGAACCCCCACCCCTCCCTGCAAAGGACCCCTTGCCAGAGAGACCTCAGCTCTGGCCATATCCTAGAAGCAGCTCTCTCAGTCAGTATCCTTTCGCACCACCCCGCACCATCACATAACCCCATTCTATTTCCTTCCTGATGCTGACTGCTGACAAGTTCTTTGTACCAATTTCTGTGCTGCCCTGTTCACAATATGTCTCCTGCCTCCAGAATACCAGCTCATGATGCTAGGGGCCCATCCTGGTCACTCCTGAATGTCCCATACTTGAGCAGGAGCCCTATACAAACCAGGTGCTCAATCTGACCAAGGCAGATGCAGGAGCCCAGGCTCCCTGTCTCTCTCAGTCTCTATTCAAACCTCCAGGTGGGAACCGGCTCTGGGTACAGGCACCCCAATGCTGAGAACACAGGGGGAGGGGAAGGTGTCAGGGCTGCACTGATGGCCACACATGTGTCAAAAGAATCCCCACAGCGGGCGCCTGGGTGGCTCAGCGGGTTAAAGCCTCTGCCTTCGGCTCAGGTCATGATCCCAGGGTCCTGGGATCGAGTCCCACATCGGGCTCTCTGCTCAGCAGGGAGCCTGCTTCCTTCTCTCTCTGCCTTCCTCTCTGCCTACTTGTGATCTCTGTCAAATAAATAAATAAAATCTTTAAAAAAAAAAAAAAAAAAAAAAGAATCCCCACAGCCCTGAGAGAAGAAGGAGCCAGAGCTTAGACAGGGCAGGGCACTGGGACCCTCAATAGTCCTGAGAAGGATCCAGAGATCAGAAAGAAGCCAGGCACTGGGACCCTCACAGCCCTGAGAGAAGGATCTGGAGCTGGGAGGGGTTGGGTACTGGGACCCTCATAGGCTTGAGGAGAAGGATCTAGAGCTCAGAAATGGCCAGGCAGTAGGACCCTCCCAGACCTGAGAAGAATCCAGAGCTCAAAAAGGATAGGGCACTGGGACGTTGTAGCCCTGAGAGAAGGACTCTCGGGGCTGGGAGGGGTCAGCTACTGTGATGTGTACAATCCTGAGGACAGGAAGGATCCAGAGCTGGGAGAGGGTTGGACACTGGGATCCTTCCCTCCAAAGGGGAAGATCAGGACTGGGAGGGGGCCATGCACTGGCCCAATGCCTCAAGAAGATAGAACCAAGATTTAAACCCTGCTAGGCTACAATCCTCAGGCTTCTTAAGCCCCTCCCCTGGGCCCTCAGTTTTTACTGAACAACAATATGCTCCTCTCCACCAAGGAGCTTATAAACCAGGAGAGGAGAAGGTCACTAAGCAACAGAGCCCACCAAATCCAAAAATGAAATACCAAGGTGGTTGAGGCAGGCACCCCAAGAAGGGACACTTCCTAAGAGTGGCCAGGGAACACTTCTCTGAGCAGGCACATGACGCTATCTTGGAAGGATGGGTCTACACTTCCTCTCTCTTCTCTCCCAAAAGTAGCCCATCACAGTGAAAAGGGAGATCTATAGGAGGAGCCACATCAGGACTCACTCGAGTTTTTTAAATTCAAAGAGAAACTGCATGAAGTCAAAGTCTATGGTGGCAGCATATGTTACCTTCTGCCACATTCCAGGCTGGCCACCAAGTCTGCACAAAGGCAGCTCAGACACCATACCACTCTGGAGAGAGAAACCATGGAGGACTTTTACTCAGGCTCCCTCCAAGAGCTAGGATTACAGGCTCTCTTGGGCCACAGAGAAAATTTACAGGAACTTCCTCTCCAGTCCCCTGCCACATCTGAATCTGCAAAAGCCTCTTTGCAATTAAAAGTAAAAATAAAAACCCTCTCCACAAGTTGCCATTGGCAAACCATATAACCACAGTGCTACAGGATAGAAAACTCCAGACGTTATTGACGGCTGTGCGGAAGAGGTTTTCTTACTAACCCATACACTTCTCTGGTCACACAAACCAGTTCTTCAAGTCAGTTTTTCTATCCCTACCACCCAAAAGCACCCAAGCTGCCCTGACTTTAGCTCAGTCCACTACAATGCCCAAACAAGTAATGTTAAATATGAAACTGCCAAGTAACTTAAATGACCTATCAGCTTCAGAGAAAAATGCAAATTGGGTCACCCTCAAAAGTTTAGCCCAGCTGGCCAAGATGCCCCAACTGGCCTGGAGAAGTTCTTCAAGGGAGCCCCTCCCAGCTGACATCCACAGCTGGGCTCCCAGTGGGATGAGCTAGAGTCTGCAGTTACCTTCACCCTCACATGAGGAAGATCCAGCTTAGTTAGGGGATGTAACCAACACCCTAAATTAAAAATAGCCGTGTGACAGCATGAGGTGGACACATAGGCGGGCCTTCCTGACGACTAGATCAAGCGAGGGCAGCATGGTAGGGAGGGCGGGGCTCATAAGTGACCAGGTACCAAGTTCACCTTATTTACATGACTCATGAGCTCTCCCCCAGCTGTTTCTAGGAAAGCCTGCCTTCCTGCAGGACAAGTCAGAATTGCCTAGGGAAAAGACTCCACACTGGAATTCCACAAGGAAGGGCAACTTAAGCTGGACACAGTGTGTGTTGTTCCCCCACCCCAACTTCTCACCTGCAAGGGCACCTTAGCCTCATCCTGAGGACTCCTTTTGACAAGGGGAGAACTCGCTCTTCTTAAAAAAAAAAAAAAAAAAAGAAAGAAAAGAAAAAGAAGACCTCTTCTACCAATGGGAAACTATGATAAAAGATACTAGGACAGGAAGGAAACTGCCCCCAAAAAGTGGGAAGCAGCACGGGAAGGGTGGGCACCAGGAAAGTGGTGGAAACGTAACAAGGGAAGAAATTCCCAACTTAGCTAATGGTGCTGAACAAGTCTGGGGCAGGAAGAAAGCCACATTCCTTCCTAGTTAGTCTCTCTCCTCACCCGCCCTCAGCCCCCCCATTCCCAGTATACACAAACACACACACACACAGGGAGCAGGGCCTCCTTGAGCCGGACACCAGACCCTTCCCCAGCCATTTCATGACTATAAAGCTCCCACTTTCCAGACAACAAGGAAAAGGGCTCCCAAACCACTTCCCCTCAAGCCCTGACCACTCTGGGCACCTGCAACTTCTGTCCCGACAAAGAGGGCACCATGACAAACAGAAACGGGAAGAAGCAGGTTTCTGACCAGGGCCCCAGATGTGTCCGCAAATCAAGCCTGAAAGAAGGTGCACAGCAGCCTCCCCCCAACCCACACACCCTGGGCCAGGTGGCAGAAGTGAAACGCCTCTAACTTCCCCCAGATGGACCCAAATCGGCCCCTGAGAAGTTCGAGAGTCAGCGGCCAGGTGCGGTGGCCAGAGCTCCCTCCCAGGTGCCCACTAAGAGCTCCCAGCCTGGGAAAGGCACCATGCCAGCGACCCCCCCACACATGCACAGCTTCTCCCCCAAACCAAAACACTCCCATTCTCCAAAAATGTCCAGTAAGACAGAGTCACCTGCGAGGAGCAGGGGAGTTGCAAACAAGCTGTCAGTTTCTGCCCAAACTCCCCTTCACATGAACCAAGAGTGAGCCCAATTCCAAGGGCTTCATTGGTGTTAAAGCCCCCTCAAGTGCAGACTCAGCCTCCCCACACACACGGAACAGGTTCTCCACAGATGTCCCAACAGCGGGGCCACACTGACCCACCCTGCCTGGGACCTGGACGGAAAAACCTCAACCCTCCCCAACCCTCTCCCCCGCCCCCCAGCCAGGTAAATAGCTCAGTTCCTGCTCAGAGGCTGGGTGAGCCGGGAAGGCTCCGGACGCCTCCAGGTGCCGACTCAATCGCAAACACCGCACCCCCCCCACCGCGGACCAGATGCGCTAGCTCGGGGCCCCTTGGCCGCCCCGGGCCGCCTGCCGGTGTCACCTCCCAGAGCCGTGAGGGAACGCGGTTCCCCGCGCTCCAAGCCGGACAGGTGCTCACCCCGCGACCTGTCGGTCCAGGGACCCGCGAGCAGCACGCCGGACCCCGCGCCCCCAAGACAGGACGCCTCCGCGAGGGGCGCATGAGGCCGGCCTGCGCCTCGACGTCCCCGACGGTCGCTCCGGGCCCCGCTCCGCTCACCTGGCTGGCGCGGTAGCTCTCGAAGGCCCTCAGGGCACTGTCGGTGAGCTTCACGTGGAACACGGACACCTTGCTGCCGTCGCTGACCCGCCCGCACGACAGCCCGTAGCTCCGAGCCTCCTTTAGCGCCGCCATCTTGCGACCATCGCTCCCCCGCCCCCCCTCCCCGGTTCCAGCGCCGGCGCGCCAGCCCCGCCCCGCCCCGCCGCCCGCTGACGCGCTGCATTATTCATGAGACGCGGCTGACCACGCCCCCTATGGCTCTAGTGAAGCCCACGGTCACCTCTGCACGGCCCGCCGATTGTTGCATTATTCATGAATGCAGCTGGTCGCGCCCCCTATGGGCCTGGCGAAGTTCGCAGTCACCGCCCCGAGGTGCTGTATATTCATGAGGCATGGATGGCCCCACCTTTCAAGACCCCAAAGGGGACCACTTCCGTGCCCAGACTCCGCCCCGACACGCGCACACCTTCAGGCCCCGCCTCAAGATGCATAATTCATGATCCTGGCTCCACCAGGCAATGATTGAAGCCACGCCCCACTGCCTGCTGACGTGATGCATTATTTATGAGATCGCTCTAAGCCTTCCGTCCTGGGTTTCTGTTGAGAGCCTGGGCAAGGAGGGGGCGGGGCCAGTGCAAAACACGTGGGGGGCGGGGCCGGCTGCTGGCGGAGTGAATGGGCGTGACTATGCAAACCAAGTGCGCGTTGGACGCTGGGTGGGGCTGGCGGAGCTTCCCTTAAGGTAAGCAGATGGGATTCCCCGCCCGGGGCTTTTGGGTCATTAAGGATGTTGGGGAGGAGGTAAATTTTGCTAGTGATAAAAGTACAGTTTTAGGGGCGCCTGGGTGGCTCAGTGGGTTAAGCCGCCTTCAGCTCAGGTCATGATCTCAGGGTCCTGGGATCGAGCCCCGCATTGGGCTCTCTGCTCAGCAGGGAGTCTGCTTCCCTTCCTCTCTCTCTGCCTGCCTCTCTGCCTGCTTGTGATTTCTGTCTGTCAAATAAATAAATAAAATCTTTAAAAAAAAAAAAGTACAGTTTTAATAGAACAAAATTCTATATCCTCAGGGTTCCTGAGACATGGTGTTTGTCCAGCTTTCCCATTTTAAGAAAACATTTAGGTATCATAAGGTACCAAAAATCCATTTAAAATATACTATTCAGGGGACCCCTGGGTGACTTAGTGGGTTAAGCCTCTGCCTTCAGTTCAGGTCATGTTCTCGGGGTCCTGGGAGCCCCGCATCATGCTCTCTGCTCAGTAGGGAGCCTGCTCCCCTTCCTCTCTCTCTCTGCCTGCCTCTCTGCCTACTTGTGATCTGTCAAATAAATAAAAATCTTTTTAAAAAATAAATAAAATATATTATTCAGGGGAACCTGGATAGCTCAGTCGTTGAGCATCTGCCTTCTGCTGGGGTCATGATCCTGGGGTCCTGAGATACAGCCCTGCGTATGGAGAGCATGCTTCCCCCTCTCCCACTCCCCCTGCTTATGTTCCCTCTCTCACTGTACCTCTCTCTGTCAGATTAATAAATAAAATCTTAAATAAGTAATAAATACAGTGTACTATTCAGTGGCATTTAGTACATTTAGACCACTGTGCAGCCACTACAACTATCTCATTTGGGGAAATTTTTATCACCGCTAAGGAAAACCCCTACCCACCAAAATGGTCACTCTGCATTCCTCCCTTCCCAGCCCCTGCAACCATTAACCAACTTTCTGTGTCTATGCTTTTACTTATTTTGGATATTTCATATCACTGGGATCATACCATATGTGACCTTCTGTGACTGGCACTCAGTGAAAAACTCAGCATGATGTGGTTTTTTTTTTTTAAGACTTTATTTATTCATTTGACAGAGAGAGATCACAAGTAGGCAGAAAGGCCCACAGAGAGACAGGGAAGCAGGCTCCCCGCTGAGCACAGAGCCCGACTGGGGGCTCGATCCCAGGACCCTGAGATCATGACCTGAGCCGAAGGCAGAGGCTTAACCCACTGAGCCACCCAGGCGCCCCAGCATGATGTTTTTTTGAAACTGAATGAAGGCAACCTCATTTAAAATCGAGTCAGGGACGTCTGGGTGGCTCAGTGGGTTAAGCGCCCAACTCTTGATTTTGGCTCAGGTCATGATCGCAGGGTTGTGAGATCAAGCCCCAAGTTGGGCTCTTCACTGGACATGGAGCCTGCTTAAGATTTTCTTCGTCACTCCCTGCCCCTTCTCTCTCTCTCTCTCTCTCTCTCTCTCTCTCAGTAAATAAATGAAGTCAGGATGTCAGAAGAGGGAGCTCTGTACCCTACTGACTCATTTTCAAATGCAAACCCCAACAGGAAGGAGTCTACTTTGCTACCCCAGCAAGATGAAAGATGATTTTCCCCTGGCCCAGCAATAGCCCAGCCAACGAACCTAATGCAACTCAGCCAATGAGAAACTGTCACTACCTTGAACTCTTACTTTCCTCCAAAGCAGCCCCTCCCAACTTCCTCCTCCTCCATGAGGTAATGTTTCAACTTCTTTGTTCCATTTTGCCAAGAGTTTTGTCATAGCCTGAGTGTCCTGAGTTGCCATTCCTCTGCTATTCCTGAATAAACCTATTTTGCCGGTAAAATAACTTGCTGTTTTATTTTCAAGATTTGTATTTTCTAGGGAGAGGGTGGTTGGGTTATGGACATAGGGGAGGGTATGCGCTATGGTGAGTGCTGTGAAGTGTAAGCCTGACGATTCACAGACCTGAACCCCTGGGGCTAATAATACAGTATATGTTAATGAAGAAAACGTAAAAAAAATTTAAAATAAAATAAAAATAATTGGAGGAAGAAATTTTTTTTAAGATTTTATTCTTTTTAAAGATTTTATTTATTTATTTATTTATTTATTTGACAGAGATCACAAGCAGGCAGAGAGAGGAGGAAGGAGGCTCCCCGCTGAGCAGAGAGCCCAACGCGGGGCTCTATCTCAGGAATCTGAGATCATGACCTGAGCTGAAGGCAGAGGCTTTTTTTTTTTTTTAAAGATTTATTTATTTATTTATTTATTTATTTATTTGACAGAGAGAGATCACAACTAGACAGAGAGGCAGGCAGAGAGAGAGAGAGGGAAGCAGGCTCCCTGCCGAGCAGAGAGCCCGATGCGGGACTCGATCCCAGGAACCTGAGATAATGACCTGAGCCGAAGGCAGCGGCTTAACCCACTGAGCCACCCAGGCGCCCCCTGAAGGCAGAGGCTTTAACCCACCCAGCCACCCTGGTGCCCCTGAAGGGATAAATTTTAAAAAAAGAACTGGGGTGCCTGGATGGCTCAGTGGGTTAAAGCCTCTGCCTTCGGCTCAGGTCATGATCCCAGAGTCCTGGGATCGAGCCCCACATCGGGCTCTCTGCTCAGCAGGGAGCCTGCTTCATCCTCTCTCTCTCTGCCTGCCTCTCTGCTTACTTGTGATCTCTGTCTGTCAAATAAATAAATACAATCTTAAAAAAAAAAAAAGATTGGTATTTTCAAGGCTGGTCCCATTATAGGATGTATCAATGTTTCATTCCTTTTTTTTTTCTTTAATTTTCTTTATTTATTTGACAGAGAGAGATCACAAGTAGGCACAGAGCCAGGCAGAGAGAGAGGGGGAAGCAGGCTCTCCGCCGAGCAGAGAGCCCAATGAGGGGCTTGATCCCAGGATCCTGAGATCATGACCTGGGGCCGAAGGCAGAGGCTTTACCCACTGAGCCACCCAGGTGCCCCTGTTTCATTCCTTTTTATGACTATGTGATACCCCATTGTGTGAACAGACCACATTTTATTTATTCATTCATCCATCGATGGCCATTTGGGTTGTTTCCACCATTTCCCTATTATGAATAGTGCTGCTGTGAACACTCATGTACAAGTTTTTGTGTGGATGAATATCTTCCCTTTTCCTGGGTCTATACTTAGGAGTGACATTACTAAGTCCTATTGTAATTCCATGTTTAACTTTTCAAGGACCTGCCAGACTTTCTTCCACAGGAACTGTGCAGTTTTATCAATCTCTCATTTTATAGGTGGGGAAACTGAGGCTGGAAAACAGCACTGACTTGCCCAGGCAAGCTTCTCCTGGGCTCCTGGGTCTCCTAACCTGTGGGAAGTTCTTGTTTTCTTTTCCCCTTCAATCTAATTACAGACAGTGGTCATAAGATAAAGATTTTGAGGTAAGAGAGGAAGGTGAAGTTCAGGGACCTATGTATCTCTACCAAGGTGACCTCCTTACTTCTGCCCACCACTGCCAAGTTGGCACTATCATCCATTTACCCACTAACCATAAACTGCTGAGCCCAAGGCAATGCCAGATTCCTTGAAACATTCTCCCATACCTGCCATTAATTTCTCCATTTACAAATGGAGAAACTAAGGCCCAGAGGGGTGAGGCAGGACTCAAGGAGAGTGGCACTGCCAGTGAGTGGGCTGGCTGGAACTTGAACTTAAAATCTTTCTGACCCAGAGCCTCCCTGATTACCCTTCACTCTGCCTCTGGTACCCAGGTCCCTTTCTGTATATTTCCTCATTGAGCAGCCTCAGCACAGGGCCTAGCATGAACTAGGTGTTCAGGAAATATGTGCTGAATGAATAAATGATATCATTTAATTCTCCCAACACAGATATCAGCCCATTTTGTAGATGAGGAGAATGAGGCTCAGAATGGTTTCACACGCTGCTGCAGAGATTCCAACTCCGGACTGCCTAAGCCCAGGGTCAAAACTCTGGAATCCCCTACCCTTCACCTGGGATCAGTCCCTCCTAAATGGAAGATGCCAGCACTTGCTCAGACACACTGAGCCCTCTGCCCGCTGTCTGGGCCCAGCTGTTTATCCAGGGGCTAGGCCAGATAAATATTGGAGCAGGCAGGGCTGCACTGCCCAGAGGGATTGCAGAAGGGCAGGAATAGGGTGGCCGAGGTATGGGCAGTCTGGAGAGAAGGATGGGGAGGATAGAGACAGCTGGACTGCTGAATGGAGAACATGGGAGGAGCCAGCTTTGAGGGCTGACCAGCTCACTGTGTAATAACACTGGGAAAGGCAGGACCCCTTTCTGAGCCTCTGTGAATTTAGCTCATAAACAGTAGTAACACTGAGTGTTTAAAATGCACCAGGCTCTGTGTTCAGTGCTTGGCATCCAAGACCACCTTTTGGAGTAAATACAGTGGTTTGGAC